AGTGCATATAAGTGGATTTTACTTCATGAGGCTTCGTGCAGTATGCTACTTGTGAAAGATGAGTGCCGGATTTCATCGCTCTGTTCGCGTTTACTAGTGTATGGCAAATGCAAGGTAAAAGACCCGACTACTGTAAGGCCCAGGGGGAGGGTACTCCCATACATTACCTATACGGGTATGTGCCGCCCAACGGGGTCGTGATTTTAAAAATACGGTTCAATGAGTTAACAAGCAAACTGTTGTACTCTTGTTGCACCCTGTGTTTTAGCGTGCAGGGCGGGCATATTTTGGCGCGAGCCGCGAGCGCTGACTCCGCCATCCAGGATTAATAGGCGCGCGGAGGTCTGGAACGAGTCCATAATGTATCCGAAGGACATGGAGACGGGCTCAAAAGAAAGGGACGGGAGAGGAGAAGGAGAATCGATGGCTTACGAGCGTGGTTCTGTGCGTGGTGAGAGTTTTTGCGTCATAATTAACCACATTGTATCTACATGCACAGGAAACGTACTCTGGATGATTATGAAGAAGCATTTATTTGATGTATAAGTCACTAGACAAATAAAGAAAGACAGGGCTATTTCGATTTACGAACTTTCTAGAACGGAGTATAAAAAATTGGCCCATTTCTAGAACGGGGTATCAGTTTTAGGGCGAATTCTCGAACGGCGTATAAAAATTGGCCCATTTCTAGAACGGGGTATCAATTTAAGGGGAATTTTTTTTTTAGAACGGGGTGCCAATTTAGAGTCCTGGGCGGCACATACCCACCCCAAAAATTCCCAAGTGCCCCCCCCCTCCCCTGGCTGGAAGGTAAGAATTGAAGTTTTAAACTTGTTACTCGGCGAAAAATCCTACATAGAATTCGTAAAACCCGTGAGTATTATCTCTGTTACCTAATGTCATAAGATGACTCCTCGTTTTTCTATGCTTGACACGGATACAAGCGATAAACTTTATTTGCAAGGTTAAGTATATGTACTTATCGAGACCATTTGACGACGATTTTAGTTATATGCTGTACTTATTTGGTTTATTCCAGCTAAGTGCCAGAAGTTAGATGACAATTAATGTTTGTGTGCTATAATTATGCTGATAATTTTTTGCACCCTTGTATTGACCCTAGCAAAATACTCTATTATGGAGGAACGTTTAACGTCTTTCGGGGCCCAAGATGGTTTCAAATTATAGGGAAAAAAAGCTTGATTTTAGGCGAAATGGACTATAGCTTTTTTTCTTTGAGGAGAGCGCGAAGACAACGCTCGTAAGTACAGTCTAATCCAAACAAACATCGGCTGCACTTTAGGTGGCACACCCATGGGTGCAGTGTAACCTAGCGATTCCTTAGGTAGAGCTAACAAACATAGGCTTCACTTTAAGTGGCACATCCATGGGTGCAGTGTAACCCAGTGATTCTTTAGGTAGAGCTAACAAACATGGGCTGCACTTTAAGTGGCACACCCATGGGTGCAGTGTAATCTTGTGATTCTTTAGGCTGAGCTAACAAACATAGGCTGCACTTTAGGTGGCACACCCTGGGTGCAGTGTAACCCAGGCAGAGCTAACAAACATAGGCTGCACTTTAGGTGGCACACCCATGGGTGCAGTGTAACCCAATGGTTATTTAGGTAGAGCCAACAAACACAGGCTGCACTGTAGGTGGCACACCCATGGGTGCAAAGAAACCCAGGGATTCTTTAGGCAGAGCTAACAAACGTAGGCTGCACTTTAGGTGACACACCCATGGGTGCCGTGTAACCCAGTGATTCTTTAGGCAGAGCTAACAAACATGGGCTGCACTTCAAGTGGCACACCCATGGGTGCAGTGTATCCCAGTGATTCTTTAGGCAGAGCTAACAAACATAGGCTGCACTTAAGTGGCACACTCATGGGTGCAGTGTAAGCCAGTGATTCTTTAGGTAAGGCTAACAAAGATAGGCTGCACGTTAGGTGGCACACCGTACCCATAGGTGCCTTATAACCTAGTGATTCTTTCGGCAGAGCTAACAAACAGTGATTCTTTAGGTAGAGCTAACAAACATAGGCTGCACTTTAGTTGACACACCCATGGGTGCAGTGTAACCCAGTGATTCTTTAGGGAGAGCTAGCAAACATGGGCTGCACGTTAAGTGGCACACCCATCAGTGCAGTGTAACCTTGTGATTCTTTAGGTGGAGCTAACAAACATAGGCTGCACTTTAGGTGGCACACCCTGGGTGCAGTGTAACCCAGTGATTCTTTAGGCAGAGCTAACAAAGATATGCTGCACTTTAGGTGGCACAACCATGGGTGCAGCGTAACCCAATGATTCTTTAGGTAGAGCTAAAAGAAGGTAGGTTGCACTTTAGGTGGCACATCCATCGGTGCAGTGTAACCCAGTTATTCTTTAGGTAGAGCTAAAATAAGGTAGGCTGCACTTTAGGTGACACACCCATGAGTGCAGTGTAACCCAGTGATTCTTTAGGAAGAGCTATCAAACATAGGCTGAATTTTCGAGCCGCAGGAAGTTTTTTTCGTTAACATGGTCCTTGTATGAATTTTTTGAGGCCGTAGCATGAATATTTGTTAGGGTTTATTGGCGTGTATGAATTTTTTTCATTTGATTTTCCCTTGCGCGATTATTTTGTTTTGTACTTCGCCCGCCTCCTCATAACTTTTCTAATGGTCCGTCCCTTACAATGCTACGCATTACTATTGCTTAATTAAGTAACTACGCGCTAATGGACTATGAGTTTCGACTGTGGAGCGGAAAGTTAGCGCTACGCTAACAGAGCGATTCTGTAGTTTCTGCAATGTATAAGATATCACGGCTCCCAAGCTCCGTTCTCGAAATCACAACTAGGATAAAATGCATTCTGCCTGCAGACGTCTCCTTTTCTAGGTTTACAGGTTAAATAACCGTACCCACGGTTTGTTTGACAAAGCTTCCGAGACGGCTTTTTGGTAATATTAATTTTGTTGATCTAATGTTTTTTTTTCATCTTTATTTTCGCCGCCTTTGCGATGACGGCCTTGGAAGAAACTGAATATCTCCGTACTGCGCTTCGTGATTTTGCAAAATTAATTGCTGCGGGCATTAAACATGTTTTTTTTTCTATAAGGAAAGCGCTTTCACTTCCAGTATAGAGTCAATGATCTCGTTTATCTCGTTTTCTAAATGTCCTTCAGAACTGAACAAGGCCATATTTTATTACCTACAGCCTGAAAACCTGATTTATTTTGACCAGATCGAGACAAAACTGACCTCTGAAATGGAAAAACAAAATCCTTTTATTTTTGCCGTCTTCGGCCTGCCGAGGCGATCGGGTCTGGTTTGCTTTCATATGATGACATCACAGAGTGTCGGGAAAAACACCTCGCGCTGATCATACGTGACAAAATCCGCCGCGCCTAAACTAATGAAGAAGAGTCTCCTGGAACGCTCCATACCAGAGGAGGATCGAATAGTATCCCATGATGCATTTTTCCAGAAGCATCACGCAATATCGCAGTCATAGCAGATTCCATCTTGAAATAAGGTCGTTTTCTCGTCGGCTTTTTTCTCACTCGATTTCCAGTAAAAGTAAAAAAATTACATTATTTCGTTATTTGACATGATTTCTCCGATTTGCAATGGCTTAAGAGCGAAGTTTCCACTTAGAAACATTTATTTTCACGGTTTCAATTAGCCTTCCCATCACAAAGTGTTCAGTGACCCACAACCAGCTCATGAATATTCAAGGTTTTTTGGAATATATGTTGAAATCTTACAAATGTGGACCTCACGGCGGCAAAATGAAGTCCTGAATATTGCACAGGCCAAGAAGTACCCAGAAGTACCCACATTTTGAAGACTTTTTTGTCGACCAAAGATGGCTGAAATTTCGAATCTTCTATCACATTTCAACGCCAAGTGTCATAATATATGTGTAAAGCCTGATGAAGGCTACAATCTGTTGGGCGCTTTTGAGAGCGCTTTATGCCGAAGCAATCACTTTGTATTTTCAAAGAGGTTATTTTTAAAAGGAATTTGACTATAATTATTTTAATTCGAAGAAGGAGCGGTGTATAACGGTGTGTTTCAATGTGAAAAGAACCCAAAGAAAGGAACCACGCAGCATGCAAGCCGGCACAACGTAAACTGAAGCCTGCTCAGAATTTGAAAAAGAAACATCATGCAGAAACTTTATTTATTCAAAAGAACAGATCAGTATTCTGGCCAGGAAATTTCCTTGAAGATTGCTTGAGTCAGTACCGGGTAGACTGTGCTTCAGAGAATTGTTTGTCGCATCGATAGGTTAAATTTTATTTGTAACTGCCATTGTAAACTTCAGCTCCTTTGAGCGCGATGCTGTAATAAATTATCCTTTGGTAATTAGCTTCACAGCGTAGCGGATGTTTTGTTGGAACCACTTTATAGATCAGTCATAGTTTTGGTTCTCCTCTGGCCTGGGTTCTCCTAGTGAACCTAGCGAAGCTTATCAATTGCGAGTCTTATAATTTGTGTTTACAGTGCGACCGAGCGCGGCACAAGTAGTTCTCGACAGATCAGTGAAATACATGTAAAACCCTTCTCAGTCAAAGCAACGCTGAAATTCTCCTTTAAAGCACAGTGAATATTAGCCAACTCGATAATCTCAAAAGCAGAAGCTGCTGAACCGAAACATGTTTGGAAACCATCCACATCGAGCACTGCGATCGATGTTCACTTCGCGCGTGCTGAAGGTTACTGATCATAATGTGTCACGTACGCAGTGATAATATAACAAGAATCGAGGTGCATCATGGGATACTATTCGATCGTCGTCTGGCTCCATACAATTCCTTACAATAAGATTATGAGAAATTGTATGGAGCTCTCCGGGATACTTACAGTGCAAGCCCAGTGTGTCTGTGCCAGTAGAAGTGCACTCAGCTTAAACAAGCTACTATGCAGGCACTTCATTCACTTCATTGGTGCTAAACTCCTTTTGAACTCTCATCTCAACATACTTTTGTATGTTTCTTTATTTTTCTTGTATTTATAGTATATTTATACACTATCTTCGTTCCACATGATAATGACGTCCGAGAAAGTCATAATCATAATCATAGTCGCAGTCGTGATCATAATCACAATCACAATCATAATCGTAATCGTAATCACCGTAAAATAATCGTAATCGTAATCGTAATCATAATCATAATCATAATCGTAATCATAATGAAACGCCACAGAGTTTAAGAAAAAAAAAAGGAAAAGAAAATGGAATCGCCGTCATCGTAAGCATAATCATAATCGTAATCATCATCATAATGAAACGCTACAGGGTTTAAGAAAAATATAGGAAAAGAAAATTAAGAGAAGGACAGTTTGGCAATTTAAGATTTATTAGCAAGGCCCATCGGCCAGATCACGAATCGTGTGTACCTCTAACCATGGGCCACGGCCCTTTTCAGAAACAATAAGCGGAAAGGAACTTATCAGTAGTACCCAACACTTGAGCTAACTATATGTCTTAGAAATGCCAGTACGACCAAGTGAACTTTTCCTGCACATCCTTGACAATGCAAAGCTTTATTGTTAAACTTGCTCAGAGAATTCACATTCGATCAAATTCTGGCAAAGATTCTAAAGTAAAAGACATCGAATTCTTCCACAAGACATTCCCATACTTCATCTGGTTGCTAAGAGATGTGACACAATCCATTCCCACCGACTGCAAGGACATAAGGGACTATTTCTTGAAAAAGGTAGGCAAAAAAGAGTACTTAAACGGAAAAGTATTTAGTTAGATATCTTAAAGAATTATAAGATCAGGTTAAACTGTTGTGGCGTTAAAATCTAAAAGAAGGTTAACAGTGAACGAATCCCTTGAGTTGTCGAAAGAAGCTGCAAATATTTATTGAACTTAGCCCTATTTTATGCTTTAGAGTTACCGTTGATTTTTCTTTCACTTGATGTACTAGGTCTTCCAAGAGCAGACATCCTCCTCCCCTGGTGATGAAAGCCCAAAAGTCTCAGAAAGCATATTGCGTTTGTTTCCTGGATTTGACGCGTTCATGCTGCCACCTCCCACAGTTGATAGCGAGTTGATGAAAACACTAACAGAGAAGAAAGATCGGGTGAATCCTTCATTCTGGAGTGCTTTAGAGAATTTTAAGCTCTTAATCAGAAGCAACCTGGCTCCTAAACACAGTTACAATCATGGGGAATATGTCACGGGAGAAGGTAACATTATTAAATCAGTTAAAAGTGAATTGAATTTCAGTAAAACTTTTTCATATTACGGCGATATGTCCAGAAATGCTTGCTACAACGAAAATGGCAATTGAGGAAAACTTGCCAAACGTTTTAAATGAGATGGTAAAGGATACACAAAAAAAGGGGCGATTTCGACGAAATAACGAATCTCGCGAAAAAAATTTAAAAATCATTGCAAGAGACCCCATGAAAATTTGGGATTTCAATGAAAACGACTAATTTGGGGATTCTTACGAAAATTCGCCAAAGGTTTGTCGAAAATTCAAAGAGATTGCAAAATGGGTCCCATGAAAAGTGAAGCATTTGGGAAAGATTCGCCGAAGGCTGGCGAAAATTCAAATTACATGGCAAAAGGCCTAAATTACGGGCCCTCGGACGGTGGCGATTTTGAAGAAAATGGTGAATTTGGGCGAAGATTCGTCAAAAGTTGGGGAAAATTCAAATGAGAGGACAAAGGAAAGTGGAAAGTGGCCACTTTAACCATAAAATGGCGAATTTGGCGAAGATTCGCCAATGGCTTGGTAAAAATTTAAATGATATGGCAAAAGGGCCCATGATGTCAGATAATTGAATTCCGTGATGGTTCATCATAGGTCTCGCTTCCTTGGTTAATTACTATGTCAAGGCCATAAATACCCCTGGAGTTATTCCCAATGTGCAGAGAGCTTGGGACCAGTTTGTGGAAACAAAGTGTTCTGATGCAATTAAAAATGCTTTGGCAACCTACGACGCACTCCTGAAGTCACAGCTGTCTGGCGAACTGCCTTGTGATAGCAGCAGGATTCGTACGAGTCACGACGTCGCTTTTAAAGAGAGTGAGAATCATTTTATGGCCGAAATTGCGGGGATATCTACCAACAAAGTGGAAATAAAAATGCGGGAACTCAAGGTACGTCAACAATGGGCCATTTACACGATGACAACATTTTGCTACCAGGACGAAAATCCGTCAGGGATTTCCTTCCTTGCGGGGATAAGCTGGGATTACCAAATTTAAATTTGAAAGGGAAAAGGATATAGAGTCTGGTTGTGGTAGTTTAAAGACGCCATCACGCAAATAGCCTATTGTATTGAAATACAGCATTATTACCTGATGATTCATTGTTTTCAACGCATTTTACAATGTTTATTAGAGAGAGATTATTCTGTCATGAATGAGGCAGAACACTGAATATAGCTGGCTAGGTCAATTCCTCTGAGATAGTGTGCACGGTTATTGATGTTAAATTCAGCTAAATTGTGAACTGCCCCTCACCCCTCCCCCTCCTAGATTTAGTTTT